ATTAAACCGTTTTATGCTCCTTTCTTCTACATACAAAATTGTTTAAACATTTTAGAACGCAGTCGGGGAGCGCGCAACCACTGTTAATTCCGAAGCAAGATTTAAGCGTCGTCGTATATGAACGTGGCAAATTACCCGTTTAGAAGGTCGACCTTGTCGAAGTGTATACAATAATGACATGTCGCACTGCTGCCTTCTACGTCATACGGTTAAACGCCAGGTCCATCACCAGTAACGGACATTTGGCTTTCCACCACATTATTTTGTGGACTGTTGGTCCTGAAATACCACTGAGGTGATTCCTCACTTGGTGCATCAAGGTCCTGATTTGGCCAACCCTCCGCTAGCGCCGTCAGCCACAGATAACGGTGGGCAATGGTTTGTATTTTTCTCTATCTTCATTCGGGCGGGTGCCGTAGGATATGTCCGAGTCAGCGCGATCGGGGTTCTTCGACCGACGGCTCATACGTAGGTCTGGCCACAGCGGAGCAAAAACAGCCGTGTAACAAACACATTATGCCCGAGTTTACAAAGAAAACCTCTGAGCGGGCTAAGCGTCGCAGCAGCTATACAGAATTCCAGAGAGCTGAGGTGAAACGCAACAAACGCCTTGACTTGCTCAAGACGAATTGCAAGCATGGGTAATAGCCTAAACTTATGATCAAACAAAGTAAAAAGGAAACGCAAGTTTCTAACTTCAAACTCGAACAGTACTACAGTAACAGTATTACTACAGAGATCGCCCTGTAAAAGATGTTAGGTATCTGAAGTGAACAGCCGCCATTTGGAAACAAAACTCTCTATATCAGCATGTACGATTAAAGAATAACAACAAATTCGCCGAATCAGACTTAATCAGTCTGGATTGTTTGCATAAACAGAACTCTCTTGTCTGTGATGTCTCGTGTATTCTAAGCTCTTCAACACTTTTGCCATAAGACACTGGTTACTGCATCGTAGAAGAAAATATCTCTTGGAAAGCATACGTGTCTCTACCTTGTTCCTTCAGGTTGCAAGCTGGCTTGGCTTCTTAGACAACCTCTGCAGTGTTTCCGCGAGAACATGCACAGCAAACGGACTGGAAGAAATGATGTATGCTCATTCAGTTTGTCTAACCGAGTGAACTCCTTTTTCTTAATCTCCACAACTACCGGAGTAATCTATGCCTCGAAAAAAATGGAGCCATTCCTTACGCAACCCTGCATTTAGCCTTCACGTGTGAAAGCCAACGCTGCTGTTTGCTGTTCAACCGTCGTTCCCGTTTCTTTGCCAGAACACGCCTCCATGTCGTACAACAACACTGACGTGACACAAGCAAGATAACATGCAACCAAAGTATTGAACAGGTTCAGCAAAGCGCTAGTGGTTAAGCGATCCTCCTACTTAACTTCGGCTAAATAGTACCATCGCTGCAGAATATGAAGCCGATATACTTAAAATGGTTAACCTCCTCAAGTGGTTTACCTTCCTTTTCCACTTACAGATCATC